CTCCACAGACTCACCTCCATGCACTGCCTTCACCACACAGCACACACGCACTATACTGACACACCAAAGCACCCCCACCCAACAATCCCTCCATAGGAATCCATTCCCTGCCCCCTTTAATTCCCCATGCAACCCATCCCCCAATTACTGCATGGGGGACAGACAAGGGCAACACCCCCTCCCCATACCACCCCCCTCCCTGGTCTCTTAGACAAGCTGCACAAAAATCACAATCAAATTGAGGTCACAACCCTGCCCCCAAATGCCAAGGCTACATCCACAAGTGAGACAACCCCTCAAGGAGTAGGGAGAAAGGGGGTGGTCCAGAGCCCAGGGAGGAGGGGCTTGGGGGCAGGAAGGAGAGCATGGTGGCTGAGAAGGCCTCAGAAGTGGGGGTGCCTTCTAATTTGTGTGGTGCAGTCTATTCCACCCCCAGGGCAGGATCGCCCCCTACAGACTATTCCAGTCTAGGAGAGCAGTGTGGGGGGCTTTATGGGCTGTGTTTGTGGGGATTGGGAAGCTCTCTACCCCAATATCTCGGTTCTGATCCAGTCCTTGCCCAACCCCCTCGGTCATGCACAGGATCCAATACGTACCTCCACCCCGCCCCAGCGACAAAGCAGTGTATGACCCCTCCTCCCATGGGACAAACAGCCACAGAGACAGACTGCTATTACTGTGCTCTTACCACACACACAGAGACAAACCCTGGAGGGCTGGGGGAACCCCAAGACAACTGGCGATGCCTGGCTGTAGGGGCAACCCCGAGACAGACACCCCGGCAGTAAGTGACCCCTTGGGATCCAATTCACCATCATGCAGGGGGAGCACAGAGCTAGGGCGCTGTTGGAACACAGGGGAACCCCAACCCAGTCACCCAGGAGCCCCCCAAGTCCAGGCACTTCTCAATGGACCCCCACAGGGCGAGGGAGCAGGAAACAGCCCCCCCATAGCAAGACATGAATTTGCTTCTTGTAGCATGGCCCCAACCCACGCCATCCACAGCCAACATAGAGAATGCAAAGGGGTCACTCACCTTCCATCGTGTGCTCTTCTGCCAGGGACACCCCCACAGACGCAGCCAGACAGACACACAGAGAGAGAAAGAGAGGGAGTTAGTGAGGGGGGGGCAGGCCACCAGCATAGGCACACACTTACAGGTAACTAGGTAAAGAGACCATAGGGGGCAATGCTGCCCCCCAGGGGGGGATAGACGGTAGGGGGCCATGGTGCCCCCAGTGGGCGGGGATAGACGGTAGGGGGCCACGCTGCCTTTGGGGGGGGGATAGAAGGTAGGGGGCCATGCTGCCCCGGGGAAGGGGGCAATAGGCTGGAGGAGCACAGTGTGCTGTGTTCTCCAATCCCCCAGTCCTGCCCCACAGTTTCCCCACTGTGGGCTTCCCTAGGGCAGTGGGCAGGACGAGAGCCAAAGGACTATGGTAGGGATCTCCATGCGGAGCCCTCACTCTGGCCCCCAGACTCCCCAAGTTGGGGTTGGTAGGGTCTGGGGTCCCAGTTTACAGACACTAAATCTCCCTCCCCCGCACCACAGTGCCAGAGATGTTGGGGGGAGGGGTTACTGAGGGGGGAGGGGTGACAGGCCAAACCAATCATAACAGGACAAGATCTGTGCAAGCCAATGCCCCCTGGTGCCCCTCACCCCACCCACATCCCCAACTATCCCAGCCTGGGCTCCACACCCAGCCCTGCCGGTGCCCCTCACCCACACCCACAGCCCCGGCCATCCCAGCCTGGGCTCCACACCCAGCTCTGCCAGTGCCCCTCACCCCTAGCTCTCTCAACATGGACCCATCCCAGCTCCCCTCCCCGCAACAGTGCAGCAAACCCCGCCCCCTGCTGGTGATCCCACTTCCTGACTCCAGCCCCACATGGCAGCCTGGGAGCCCATGGAGTGGGGGTGGGGGCTATTTTGAAGGAGCTGGGTTTCATAGAGTCATAGATTCTAGGACTGGAAGGGACCTTGAGCGGTCATCGAGTCCAGTCCCCTGCCTTCATGGCAGGACCAAATACTGTCTAGACCATCCCTGATAGACATTTATCTAACCTACTCTTAAATATTTCCAGAGATGAAGATTCCACAACCTCCCTAGGCAATTTATTCCAGTGTTTAACCCCCCTGACAGTTAGGAACTTTTTCCTAATGTCCAACCTAAACCTCCCTTGCTGCAGTTTAAGCCCATGGCTTCTTGTTCTATCCTTAGAGGCTAAGATGAACAAGGTTTCTCCCTCCTCCTTATGACACCCTTTTAGATACCTGAAAACTGCTATCATGTCCCCTCTCAGTCTTCTCTTTTCCAAACTAAACAAACCCAATTCTTTCAGCCTTCCTTCATAGGTCATGTTCTCAAGACCTTTAATCGTTCTTGTTGCTCTTCTCTGGACCCTCTCCAATTTCTCCACATCTTTCTTGAAATGCGGTGCCCAGAACTGGACACAATACTCCAGTTGAGGCCTAACCAGTGCAGAGTAGAGCGGAAGAATGACTTCTCGTGTCTTGCTCACAACACACCTGTTAATATATCCCAAAATCATGTTTGCTTTTTTTGCAACAGCATCACACTGTTGACTCATATTTAGCTTGTGGTCCACTATAACCCCTAGATCCCTTTCTGCCGTACTCCTTCCTAGACAGTCTCTTCCCATTCTGTATGTGTGAAACTGATTGTTCCTTCCTAAATGGAGCACTTTGCATTTGTCTTTATTAAACTTCATCCTGTTTACCTCAGACCATTTCTCCAATTTGTTGATTGGGCTAGTTTCAGAAACTGCCTTTGATCTGTGGGAGGAGCCCCATCCTTGACTGGGATGTGAGCCCTGCACAGAAGGCCCTTTTGATGATGTAAACACCTGGCTGAGCTGCTTTGGTGGGGCTACACAGTAGGCAGGAGCCATGAGCTCACTCATCTTTGCGAGTGCCCTCCTTGGGAAAGGGCCAGGACTCCTGGATTCTATTCCCAGCTCAGGGGGAGTGGGGTCTAGTTGTTACAGCAAGGGGTGGGGCTGAGCCAGGATTCCTGGGTTCTCTCTCTAGCTTTGGGGAGGGAGTAGGATCCAGTGGGTGAGTGTAGAGGGCCAGGTCTGGAGGTAGGATGCCTGGGTTTGACCCTTGGGCTTTGCACAGAGCTCAATGCAGGACAGACACTTTCTGCTGTAACTAAATGTTTTGTGACCAACCTTTATTATTTCTTTAGTCCCTTACTACCATTCCCAGACTCACTGAGTGAGGAAGCGTGAGGCCTTCTGGCACCAAGGCTGGGACAGTAGAGGGCTGCAGGTGTGCATTGAGGAGCATTGGCAGAGCTGGGGGGGAAGCCCAGGGCTGGGTTAGTAGTGGGCTGCAGGTCAGGACTGGGGGGCACCAGCAGGCCTGGAGATGGAGTCCTGTGCTGGGATAGCAGGTGCTGCAGACTAAGGCAGGCCTCACCTTGTGACCACGAGGGCTGGAGTTTGGGGGGCTGCTGAAGGAAGGCCATGTCTGAACAGAGTGAGACCAGCCGCACCCCCCAGACACAACACATGGGGCAGGGCCCAAGGCTCCCACCCCTCAGCACAACCCTTCCCTTCCTACAGAATGGAGCCAAACCAACAAGTAAAGCAATTCATAACAACGGACTAAGGAAAGGAGCTCACAGCCAATAACTGGGGCGAACAGGCTAACCACAGAGCCCTCCCCACATTCACGCTGGCACCAATGGACCCCTCTCCAGCCATCAGGACCAGGGACAGCAGCCAAAACAGCTAAGGGAGAGCGACACAGCTCCACCGGTGCCCTCAATCCCAACCCACAGCCCGCTGCCATCTCATCCTCCAGAGCCCTGCCAGTGACCCTCAATCCCAGGCCTGGGCTCCCCCCTCCCCACAGCCCTGCCAGCCCCCCCAATCCTGACCTGCAGCCCCCTGTGATCCCAGCTCTGGACTTCCCCCCATATCTTTGTTGGTGCCCCTCAGTCCTGACCCACACACACAGATCCCCCAACCCACACACACTCTGCTCTCCATAAAATGGGGTGGAGTCAGGAATACTCTGCCCATATCTCCCCACACCTGCCTTTGCCCCCTCCAATGGCTGCACTCCCACCAGCTGTTCCCAGGGACTGATCAGCCCTCGCCCCATGCAACATCATTAACTCTGTATGCAAATGATCGAGGGGATGGGGGGGCAGGTTCATGCGCGGCTCTGTGCTCTCTTCCCCCACAGCCAGGTGCTGGGGTTGTGATAAGAAGTCTGCTGGGTCAGTGTGTTGGAGGAGGGGTCATTCTCTTCCAGACCCCACTGTGAAGGGGGGGCTGCGGTGGAGTAAGTGGTTAGAGTCTCCCAATGCACCCCCCAGCATCCCCCAGGTATCTTCCACAACAGACACCCCAATGCACCCCATATACACCCTACCACAGATATCCCAATGCACCCCACATACCATCCAGATACCCCAGATATCCCTCACCCCAGACACCCCAATGCACCCCACATACCCCCACCAGACACCCCAATGAACCCCAGATACCCCCACTAGAGACCCCAATGCCCCCAACTCTGTGCATGGCAGGGTGAGGGAGGGGTGCTGAGGCACCAAGCCCCTCTGGATCCTCCTTAGTGATAATTGAGCAAAATGAGCAGGGCGGGTGGCAAGAGCTGGTTTCCATGGCAACCCCAAACAAAAGGCTGGCCAGAATGACGTGGGCTCTAACACATGGCGGGAGGAGGATGGAAAAAAGGGGGCATCCCCAACCAACCCTACTCCTCCCCTGTCACCCTGGGGGGAGCCAGGACTCCTGGGTTCTATCCCCAGTCCTGGGCAGAGAGTGGGGTCTAGTGGGCGCCTGGGAGCTAGGACACCTGGGTCCCAGCATGACCCGGGAGGAGACCCTTCCCCACTCCATGTCGCGCCGGATGCGTTGTGGGAGGGAAGGGGCCATTCCCCTCATGGGGGCCAGGCATTGCGGGGAGCAGCCCTTGCTGAGAGACCAGCGCCCCCTGCCTCTAGAAGCCTGGCTGTTCCAATGGGTCAGCCCCTGCACTCCAGGCTCTGTGCCAGCCTCAGACTCTGCCCCCTGCCCCACCGCACGCCCTGCTGGGCAAGGGGGAAACTTGGGGAAGGGCAGCAGGGATGATACAGTGAGTCTGGGGGCTTGAAACAGCCATCAAATGTGGAAGGCCGGGGTGGGGAAATGGGGCACATTGGGGCGAGGGAGAAAGGAGGAGACAGCGACTCTAGGCATGCACATGTGGGTCTACCTCTGCCTGTAGGTCTGCCGGAGGGATGGGCACGCATCTGTCTGTAGGTCTGCGGGCTGTGTGTATCTGTCTGTAGGTCTGCAGGCTGTGTGTGTGCCACGTATGAATGGGTCAGTTCAGGAGCAGATTTACCATGAAACAAACCGTGCGGTGGCACAGGGCCCAAACGACAGGGTGGTCCCCAAAATGCAGGACAAATATCTGACAACCTGTCCCTGAGTCCTGGCCAGCGGCGCAGCAGGGCTCAGGCAGGCAGGCTGTCTGCATGCCATGGCCAGTGGCCCCACGTTGCTCCCAGAAGCAGCTGGCTTCTGGCACGTCTCTGTGCGCCCCTGGCGGGGGAGGGGAGGAGGCAGCTCCGCACGCTGCCTGCACCCTGGGCAGTGCACGGAGACCTGCTGCCCCCCGCCCCGCAAGGGGCATGTAGAGATGTGCCAGCAGCAGGGCTAAGGCAGTTCCCTGCCCACTCTGCCTCCCTCCGTCTGCGCTACTTCGCTCCCGGAAGCGGCCAGCACGTCCCTGAGGCCCCGGGGGGCCGGGGAGTGTCTCCACGCGCTGTCCCCACCCTGAGCACCAACTCCACAGCGCCCATTGGCTGGGAACTGCGGCCAATGGGAGCTGCAGGGGCAGCGCCTGCAGGCAGCGGTGCGCGGAAACCCCTTGCCCCCCCGCCAAGGAGATGCTGCCGGAAGGGTGTGTGCACCAGTTGCTTTGGGAGCCACGCTGCCCGAGGTAAGCGCTGCCCCTCTGCCCCCCTCAGGCACCTCAATCCCCTGCCCCAGCCAAGAGCCTGCACCCCA